CCTCTAACAACTGCTGTAATCTCTCGTTCTTCTTGTTTCTTTTCTCGTTCATTTTCTCGTTCTTCTTGTTTCTTTTCTTGTTTATTTTGCTGTTCTTGTATTGCTGCCATCAAGTCTGCTATGCTGTAGTTTGATTTGCCGCTTCTCGTTTCCATTTTTTTTTGTCCCACTTTCTGACACCAATTTGTTACGTCTCCGTTTGTTAATTGATTTTCCGTAACTTCGTTCCGACGAAACTTAAGCGACACAAGTTCTTCCTTAATAAAAACTGGTTTATTCTTTCCGAATACAACTTTACCGATACACTCAACTTCAACAATCGCCCTAAACAAACGCTATAACGACGAACGTGCTCAATAATACTTCTGACTGCAGATCAGTTACTCACTATCTACGCACACATTACCTTCCCGCGTCACGTTGTCCCCTCTTATATATACCCGCCTACCCTATATCTAGTAAGAACTAGAACATTCGCCAAAGTACAGGATAATTCTAGAAAGTAGAGAGCGTGAGAATCACATGATCTCGATGACGCAACAACGTTTTTAAATCACTGAAAAAAAAAGAACAATAAATGGAAATGTACACTATAAAGAGACAGGAAAACCCCAATGTAAAAACACTCACCGTTATTATTTTAATATTAGATTGATTTATCTTATTCTACAGTTCACCCAGGAAAAAATGTCAGCAGTTGGTTCACAAATCGGCTAAATAGCCTACGTGCGCTCAACGCAAATACTTTAAATAAATAGACGGAGCACGCGGTAGCATTCCCTATCGTTTGCTTGTAATTTGCCTCTATCTCGATCTTCGCTCACTGATTGGCCGTGCATTTTTCGAGTTGTTGACACAAGTTGGTCGCTATATCAAGTTTCACAGTAAAGATAAAACGACGTGACGAAACCTTGTTTCTGAAGGAACAAGCGTTCGCACTTTTAAGAGATAGACCTTCCATCCTTTAACAGGATGCTGAAAATTCGACTGTGTCTGGCCTATGCAAATTTCCTATTTCTTATTTCGTAGTTGGAATTCTTTACTGATCGTATGCTAGGATAGTGAGCGTTAGGAAGAAGATTAGCCTGCGGAAGGTCTCAACTTCGCATATTAGACGCAGGGCGATTTTTTGAGCCAAAATTTTGGGAAATAAGTGCGTCCTATATGCCGTCAAATACGGTAATTGAATCAGCCTGTGCGGACTTTTGACAGGAAAGGAGAATTGTTTATAGTTTCAGATATAACTGTGATAATCTATAGTGTAAAGAATTTTTGTATATACGTTTGAC